TGCAGCTCATTAGAGATGATTTTGTTTTTCCAAATTATATTACAAGGGCAGCATATCAGCTTGTCCATGTAGTCCTCACTGAAATGACTTCTGTACTCTGGGGAATGAAAGGCTTCCTCATAAAAAATTTACTGCTCCTTTTTTGCTAGTTTAGTGCTTAATTTCTTTTTTTTTATAGCTGCAGAGCAGTGCGACCAGACTGGTTTTTAGATTTGAATGTACAGGCCTCAATAACATAATTTTTGTTTTTCCTTGTTCTATCCTTATATTACAATACACCATCGCTTCTTCTTCACCTTCACAACCTTTGCTAGGCAGGGGATTTATATCAATAAATGATCTACTCTTCTTGCCTTGCCTCCCTTGTAAGCCCAGAATCTGCAGGAGTCAGCTCTGTTTTGCCACCTCCGTATCTTTCATCAGAAGACAACTGATCAAGACATTGTGGCATGCAACAGTTTTCCGCTGCTTTACTAACATTTTCCCATTCTGCATGGGAGAAGATTAAAGCTTCAGTAAAAAGCTAATACCTTCAATACTACCATTTGATAGTGAGGGCACTCATTTGGCGGTCAGAAAGCTCTGTCTGCCCTACCCTGCCAAACTCTGCATGGACTGAAATGTTGGGAGTTTGAGAACTTTTAACACCATGTAATAAAGTTAGAATGAATTTATCAGTCTTCTAACATATGTGTTTCACTATGTGTAAATAAATATGGACTTTGCCAAAGAAAGGAAATGAGCTGGTACTTCAGCCACTCATATGAAATACATAGGCTAGAAACCAACTACTCCAGCCAAAGTGAATGGCTGCTTTTTTTATGACTCATAGTGTTACAACAGGCACCAGAAATTAACAACTTAGGATCAGGAAAGAGAAATCTGTTTAAAGATACTCTGGTACCTTCTCCCTTCATGAAGTTGTAGTGCCTGATCTCACCGAGACACACATACATCTCAATCTATAGAGATGCTATACAGTAGGAGAAAACATTTACCTGCTATTCTGCTTGAGCACCTGACAACATAATTCAGCTAGGTAAGTGTCCTGGTTTCTCTGGGACAGAGTCACAGGCCTGACATGGTCTGCAGGCTCATAGGAGTTTGGAGTCAGTGAGGGCAGTTGACCCAGAGTTGGCTATAGGTGTATCCCATGCCATAAATGTCATGCTTGTTATAAAGGGGAAAGTTTGCTAGATGGCAGGTGTCCTGCTTGGGCTCCTCCTGCCCCTGCTCCTCTTCCTGCTCACTGCCTTCCTGTTTTCTGTGATCACTGTACATTTGCTGGGCTGAGTGTAACTTTGTTTACTTTATACTGACATTGGAATTAGCTTGGCTGGTTTAATTTTTTTAATTTCAACCCATGAATCTCCTCTCCTTTTTCTGATCCCTCTTCTTGGCTGAGGAGAGCTCATCATGTGATGTCTTCTAATTTAGCCCCAGATACAGGCTAAATGTAGACAATAAATTGCTTTTCTTCCTTTCTGCTTTTGAATATCTGCTTTTTGATAGCAAATCAATCCCACTTGTTAAATTCAAAACCAAGTGCCCTCTATCATCTCAGCATCCATAATCATCTTTCCATGTCTGGTTTACCAGAGTAACCTGTGTGTTTAATGAAACGGGCTCCTCTGTTTTCTGCTGCTGCTCTGTCTGCTGCAGCAGTGAGCAGCTGAGCGTTCCCCAGTCACATTGATATTCCAAACCAACAAGCACTGCAGCCAACAGGTGAACTCCACTAGGGTAGGGCCAGAGGGAAAATAAGAGATGAAGACCATTTAGGAACTTAATAAAGAAAGAGTTAATCTAGTTTTCCCTTAAAGTTTACCAGAACTGCAGGAAGCTTTACTCCAACACAGCTGCAAAAATGACTGCAAGAATTTGGCTAGACAGCTAGAGGCAAATAAGTGTTCATAGACTCTTACATTTACAGTCATTCCCCTGCTTTTTCTGTCCACTACTTCATTTGCTGCATTCCCATACCATGTTTAAGCTCAGATTTGTTAAGTTTGTGAGGCATAAAAGATTTTTATCTTGCCCATTTAATGGAATACTCCCACACAGAAATCAGGGCTAATTTCCTTGAAGAAGCTATTCTGGTTTGTCCTGCTGACAGAAGTGAGTGTCATTGGAATGACTGTATACAAACATAAAATCAAATCAATATAGAAATCGGTTAAAATGAAATAAGCATATAAATTGAAGCAGTTAAGCAAAGTTTTATGTTTTAGGGACACATGCTTACCAGGATGACCATGTAATATAAAAAAAGAAAACTAACTCATTTGTAGTATGTCCCTTTTTGACCCTCAGCTTCAGCCATTCAGTCAGTATGGAGAGCCAGCAGACTTTACCTCAAGCAATGTTATGTCTGTCATAGAATGGAAACAACCCTCTCAGAGCGTCATTCTCTTTTACCTCTCAACTCTTGCTCTTGTCATGTTGCATTATACATAGATAACACAAATCTCAAAGGCATGGCCTCTGGTTAAAAAAGGAAACAACAATAACAATAAGATCTCACACAGCATGCCAATGTGAGCAGGATTTAATCGCAGATAGTTGAAGTGTTCAACATCAGTACTTGAAAAATAAGAGATCCTGGTCAATAAACACAGTGATAAGTATAAAAGGAAAAAAAAAAATCCCAAAAGAAGTGATCTGTTTAATGATTATTCATTTCTCCTCCCTGGAGCCATTTGTTACTCTACTGAAGAGCAGTCTTCTCCATTCAAAATATCTGTTAAGATGCTTTGTTGAATCCGTGCAAAAATCAAAATACTAAAACTTCATAGTGAGTATTTTGCCTAAAAGAAATTTAGAAGTATGTTACAGTGGGATGACTGTTTGGATATAGTGAAACAATCCTCATTATTATTTTCATCACTGTAAATTTAGAATAAGTTCCTTTAAGTACAGTGTTGCAGTGATTTCAGCTGGGTGCACCAAGGCAGACTGAGGCAGACTATCTGCAGAAACTTGGTGAGGCAGATTGTACACTATGACAGTGGATAAATGCAGAAAGTTAGAAGTTCAGTTTCAGAGCACTCCTTAAACTTTATCATGTCTGGTTGGGGTAAATAATAGGAGTCCTTAGTCTGGGTTTCAGACTATTTGCATGGACCTGGTACAGAATTATAGAACTTGAAAGAAATTAATGAAATCATCCAGTCCAAACTTCTGTCCCATCAGAATCAGCTATACTTGAGTTATTCCAGCACTTTGTTTTTCTTTACTGTTATTAAGGCCTACAATATGGAAGACTGCATAGTCTCTTCAGGAAAACTATGGTACATCATTTCCTTTACAGTTGAAAAGCTTTCCTTAATATGTATCCTTAATCTTCCTTGACACAGTGTATTCCAATTACTTTTTCCCTCTTCTATTATAAGTAAAGATTATTTCCTTCATCTTTGCTGAAAAGGTTTATTTATTAGCATGTCGTCATGATCTAGCTTGAGAGTACTAATTTCACTGATGACAAAGTGGAAAATCATTTTGTGTTTCTTTAGCAATCTCCTTCATAAAATGCTGAATGTATAGAAAAGGACAAAACCTCTTATATGACATTAGGTTACCAATAGTCAGATGCAGACCTGAAGACACATAGCTGTAT